CTTTATAAACCTTTCTAAATATATATTTTATATATTTATATACAATATATATTTTTTTAGGTGTATAAAGTTTTATATTTATTTGTATATATTTAACATTAATTTATTCTTTTATTCATTTATTTATTTATTTGTATATATTTAAGCTATAATTTTAAAACTAGTTCGTTTTTTTTACCACTGCAAACAATGTTAATGCAGCAATAAATGCTACCTTTTTTATGACATGAGTTATATTTAGTAAATAATTACTTTCGTATAAATAATAATAATAATAGAACATAGACCTTGCGGATTTTCATCACAATTTTCCATCTCTTGGATGCGGTAGCGATAAATAATAAAACTTATCTTGAAAAACTTTTGTGCCAGAATAGCAAATGGTCTTTTGGCCAATCTTACAAAGATCTTACGAAAGACTTTTAACGATATTTACCAGAATTGCCATGTAGATGTATGTTTTGCTTAAATTAATTAATACCAAATAATTAATGAAAAATGTTTAAAGCCCAAACATATTGTAGTTTATTGCATTGTTCCAGCTTCCTCCATTAAAAATATTTATTCAAAATTTTAATAATATCGAAAATAACTATATTATTTTAATATACACGAATTTGTTGTGACAAACATTTTTAATTATGTTTAGTATTATTGACACAAATGTGCTATATAGTAAACTTTGAATTGATATAAATATTATAGCAAAACTATATGCAAAAATAGTTTTTGTCTCATACTAACATGTATTTCTATAATATTGTTACTATTATAGAATTAAATAAAAATTAATAATACTACAACAAGCATTTAACATAAATTTGGTATCTTAACAACCAAGATGACTTACCAATTCTGTAGCGTACATCAAAGCGTTTATGAGCATAAACTTTGTATAATGTTTGTGTTGGTTACACATATAAAAGTATTTATGTTTATATGTTGACGTATGTTATATTGTAAAAGACTTTCTTTGTAAGATTTTAGGTAAATATGGCGGCGATTACGGCTCTATTAGAAAAAATGCCGACACAACATAACAATATTTACTATTACACAACTTGGCAAAACATGCCAAAAACGTGAGATAAATGAGAAATAGCAGGACGGTTAGGCAATAGAGTTAACAAAACAAAACATAAAAGAAACCGAAGCAACAATAAAATAAAGTGCTAGGATAACAATTATGGATGAAACTTAATAGTCAAATGAACTCATCAAAATATTAAATAAATTAGTAAATATTAATTAATTTTAAAATTATTATGTACGTAGTAGAGCAATTATTAAAAAAAAAGTGATATTTATTATTTCTTGATAGGTGGAGCAATTGGAACATGCACGGAATAAGTTCTTAAAGATTTTCAAGTCATTTGAAATGTAGATTAATAGAGTCCCTGCCATAACTGCTTGTTCACATTTTCGCCCGAGTACTGTATATAGATGGTTGGTATGACTTACAGGCATAGAGAATTAAAATTGAAGATCGTGAGATATGATTTTCATTAGGGATATTACAATGGAGTGTGTTAATGTGGAAATTCTAATACTAACTACTTAATAGCAAAAACTTTTTTTTAAAAAATTCACTTATCAGTAGATTTTTCGGCAGTAGAGTCATTAAAATTTCTATACTTTTTTTGTAGAATGATTGGAAATTAGACTTGAAAAGTGCATCTGTGGCTGAATATGACTTTATTGGTGGCATAATATTTTTTCCTTATAGCATTGAAAATATTTTTATCTCCTTTTAAGATATTTTAATTTTTGTTTTAAAAAAAGGCACATTGTATAACCCAGTATCTATATTTATGTTTTTTAATTATGATATTAAAATTGCAAAATACGCAAAAAATGCCATTTAAAATTTAATTTTGTAATATAAAAATCATGGAATAAGGAATTTAAAATCAAAGACAAGAATTTCACAAGTTTTCTGCTAATATTCAGAACATGCCAAAGTCTAGACGCTGGGTGATAAGAAATTCGACAATACAGTGCAAGTGCAAATTGAAAACAGTGAATAGTGAACTATAGATTACAGATACTGAATTAATTTTAAATATACCATTAACTTCCAAGTTTTCATTAAAAGCAGAGTTTATCATAGTTTCTGCACAGCTTATGGCACAAAACATAGTTTTAAAAACTAAATACAAACTTAAAAATTAATGTAGAGTTATAGTGACATAAGTCTGTTGCTTTTTAGATTCAACTAAAAGTTAAATCTTTGATATAAAAATTCATATTGAACTATACGGTTGTGTTTACAGTTGAAAATATAATAATAACTTATCACAAGGAATTCTTCTTGTATCGTTTTAAGTTGTATCTAACTAGCTTGTGTTAAATATTTCAACAAATAATCGCCTTATCATCTTTAAATTTGTCTTAGCACAACATCTTGATAAAAATGCTTCACAGCCTAGAAGACTATTTGAAATCTAGAGACTAATTTCAATTAGAAAATGTGATCTATTTAAGTATGTTTTAAATCTATTAAATTAGCCTATTTGTTAATATTTGTTTGTTAAAAATTTTAATTTTGCAGAAATACTAGAAGTTATCATTTCTAATTATGATGTATAGAACACTAAAAACTCTAAATACCAGTAGTAAAATCGAAATTTGAAAAAAAAACAAAAGATCATTTCGTTGAAAAGCGGGAAATACACTTAATTCTTTAATCTCTAAATTTGTTGTAAGTACTAGACTCCTTTAAAGAGAAACAGTAAACAAATTAACAGTAACAAGTTGAAATATACTGTCTTATTAACAGTATTTTCTGCACAAGGACTCTTTTTTTCCTTTATAACATGTAGTCACCTCCATTTCTTATTTACTACTTTCTGCTATCTATTCAAGAACTATAACCATATTTCGTGAATTGGGAAACGCTATAAGTAACTTATTATTTTGTTATCAATACACTCAACAAATTACAGAGACTAGCGTGTGTAAGTATAACCGGAGCAATGCGAACATGTCCTACGTCATTATTTGAAATACTACTAGAACTCACATCTATTCACATTCATGTGCAATTAAAGGCGAGCATTAAGAGTAATTACAAACAAGATGATGGGTCATGGGCTCAATAGTGAGAAACGTAATATTTTTGCTAAACAAATCCCAGAAACTAAAATTTCAACAGACAAGATGGTTGTAAAATATAACATCAGAAAAAACTTCAAAATTGAACTTGGCAACAAAAAGAAATGGGAACGCTTGCCTGTAACCTAAATAATAAGGGAAAACATGATAACATGGTATACAGACGAAGCTGGTGTAGATGGACCAGGCAAAACGTACTCGGAAGCACTAGGAAGAAATTTCACCATCTTTCAAGCGAAAATATATACGATAGATAGATGCATCAATTTCAACCTTGAACACAACTACCAGAAGTATAGAATTGCAATATTGACTGACAGCCAGGCAGCTATAATGGCACTAATATCCTAGCAGGTAACATCCAAATTGATATGGCGGTGCATTGCCAAGCTACACATACTTGGTTGGAACAATCAGGTGCACTTAATATGGATTCCAGTGAATGCTGGTATTCAATGCAATGAAATGGCAGACAAACTCGCAAGAAGACACTCGGCTTCAGTAATGATAGACCCAGAACCTTTCTGTGGTCGAGGGAAAGGAATTCTATCCATTCTTTGGAAAAATAGAATTGCAATACTGACTGACAGCCAGGCAGCTATAATGGCACTCATATCCTAGTAGGGAACATTCAAACTGGTATGGAGGTACATTGCCAAGCTAAACATACTTGGTTGGAACAATCAGGTGCACTTAATATGGATTCCAGTGAATGCTGGTATTCAACGCAATGAAATGGCAGACAAACTCGCACGAAGAGTCTCGGCTTCAATAATGATAGACCTAAAAACTTTCTGTGGTCTAGGGAAAGAAACTCTATCCATTCTTTTGAATGGCACAGAAGAAAAACAAAGAGAACTCTTTTAGGAAAGGCTGCCAAAATTAGGAATCCAATCCAACTATATGCTGTAGAGAAAACGCATACCATGTGCTAGGGGAGTGTCCGGTACTGGTGCAGAAGCGGAAGACATCTAGGAGAATATTTCAAGAAACATAGAGATTTAAGACTGGGGAAGATAGGCCCTATACTAACTTTCATTAAAGATCTCGGACTTGGAGAAACACTCTAATGCGACTAAGGGGCACAATAGACCTTTTAGGTCGCAGTATACTATCACTTTTCATAATAATAATAAAATTATCTATAATCGAATATATATATTTATCTAACAAGTTTTATTGTAGAGATATGTACCTAATTTTTTCCAAATAATAATAATACTTTTCAATAATAAACAATACTTTATATTATCAAAAATTACTGTAAAAGTGTCGTAAAATCATAAATATACATACATTGTAAAATATAAAACCAAAATTGTTTTCTTAAAATTTCTTCAAATATTTTAACTATAATCTTAACAGCAATTTTAAATTTAAAATATTTTTCTTTGTAATATTTTTAGAAGTATGATTCCTTCATAGTATAGAAAATTAATTTAAATTTTCTGCATTTTATTACTTTAGAAATATTTTTGCTTTGAAATTGCATATTAATGTCACAATGTTACATAAATTTGAATTAAAATAAAACTCTCTTTTTATATAATTTTTTTTTAAAACTTTTACTTTTTTTCCACATAAAAATAAGTACAACATATATTTTAAAGTAGATATGTTTGCCAAAATACTTTGACAAGTTGGCAATATTGCAAGTGTCGTTTGCCTTTGAAACAAATATTGTCCGTCCATGCGTGAAACAAGATTTTTTGATTATGCATTTTATGTTCTCATTTTCACAGCGGCTCCCTTTGCAAGGACATGAATCCAAAATGTCAAAGTCAATACTGAAAAAAAATTGCTACTACAATTTTTAATCGGATAAACTTGATATACGGATATACTAGTAGGCATATCCTTTAAAAACCTTCATATTTCATATGCTACATTGACTCCATCGTTTGTGTTGTAAATAGTCAAAAAGGGTTTCAAACACCAATACCATTGCTGTGAGTTGAGTCGTTTTCGTCATTGCTTTTAGCATATTTTGCGAAATATTTATGTATGGAGGTGGCAATTTTCCTTTATAAATTTTATTCTATGCCGTTTTTTCTTTACAAATTCCGAGCACGTTTTCCAAATAAAACAACAATACAATCCGTTATGTTCTTCAGATTTTTTGTCCTCCAGCTGAACTTCGGTTTTGAATTGTAGAGCTTAAGCAAATTTTTTAACAAAATCTTCGCTTATGTGTTTTTGTGTATCTGCATATTTTCATTCACAAAATCTTATTTAAGATAAAAATTCACCTTATCGATTTTCATGCGATTGGTGTAGAATAAGGAATGAATTCTTGTTGTTGTTTTGTTTTAAACATTTTCTTTATTGATTTTCGTATGCAGTAACATCATATGATTTTGTTGCGTTCTAAATATCCTTAAAGTTCTCAAAGTCGTTCATACAATAACAGCTATGTTAGCTTTTTTTGCTTCTTCATTATTGTGTGCAGTGATATGTAAGTAAGTATAACTATGCATATAGAGCTTGTGCCTTAAACAAGTACTATCAACTGACTGAGGTTATCGCGTTCTCATAACTTTTTCTAGTTTATGGTTTTTTGAAGTTTATATTATCCTTAGTTTTCGTAACTTACTGTGGCTGTTGCTGCAGCTATACTGATAAGGAATGTCATAATGTTTCTTACTTTAAACGAGCAAATACATATGCCTTTAGCTTATATTTAGTCATGAGGTTTTTACAGAGTTTTGGATAGAGCAAAAACTGCCATGTGTCAAAAATTTTAACTTTATATATTACTTAGTAGTAGTAAGAGTGTGACTCATTTTGAGTACAGCACAGACAATCATACAGTGATTAATATTCATTTCATTTTGTTAACAATTAATATTTTTTTTGATAATATGGACTTCATATGAGTATTCGATTTAAATTAAATTGCTATCGAAGGTTATACATCTACTTATACCTCTTCATATTAAATGTGCAGTGATCGAGAACGGCTTATACTGTGTATAGTTAGTTAATTGTGGTAGAGGGAGGAACGAGTTTTCCTCAATTAGCTAAGAAAACCGTTTTGAATTCACAAAAACCTCGTAATA